ATATATTTAAAAAAAAAAAAAAGAAGGAAGAAATACCTCAGTTTTTTTCTGAGCTTTTCTTTACGAATTTTTTTTCCATTATATTTTTTTTTCTTTATCATCCATCTTTTCCACTCGCTTTCTCTCTCTTTCTCTCTCTCTTTATTTCGGAAAAGACCGGGTGGACATTTTTTAACTGGACATTTCGATATTCCATCTGCTTTTTTTTTTTTTGCCCCAGCCAAACCGTGTTTCAATTTCACGGAACGATAATGACACGAGCCTGACAAAAATAGAAACTTGAATAAGGAAAAAAAGTAAAGTAAAATAAAAAGAAAAAAAAAATAACGTCTGTGTAAAATTATTTAAGAGAAAAAAATAAATATAAGATAATATATAAATAAAATTATTTATATGTGTGTGCATTAGGAAAACAAAAAAAATGTTGACAAAATAATGAATGATAGTTATAATTTACAGGGAGGAATAATTTTTTTTTAAAGAAAATTTCTAATTCTTACACGATAAATCGATTAATCCAATGTACAAACGTATCGAAAATTATGACGAAAAAATAGACGGACATAAAAAAATGAAAAGAGGAAGAAGGAAAGGAAAAAAAAAAGTAGGATTGATACGGGCACTATTCAAATAGAAAAAGAAACTTGACGCACGTGGCACCACCGTGGTCTTGCAACATGGCCACTCGTGTCCTTCTTTTTTTGTTGTTACTGACTCGTTTATAAAAAAGAAAAAAAAAAAAGAGATAGAGAAAGGTAAAGAGAGATATAAAAAAAAAGAAAAGAAATGCAAGAGGGTAGTTACCCCATCCATCCTCTCTTCGTCGTACGTAAAAGAAATTGCGAATTCACGTGTTCCTAATGTACATAAATAGAAATAATAATAAAATATACGTAAAATCATATTTTCTAAATAATCCCATAAAATTTGATTGTAAAACTCGAGACGCGCTGAATAAAAGATTAAATCAAAATCAAGAAAGTGTGTAAAATAAAATGTATCCAAAAAAAAGACGAAGAAACATGCTAATCCATTTAATTATATTTCCGAATAAAATAATTATAGGGGGTTGAGGAAGAAAAAGAACCAAAGAATTAATCCTAAACGAACGGGGTGGAGTTAAAAAATAAAAAGAATAAAATAAATGAATAAACAAAAGTTGTTATTCGTTAAGTTGGTTTGTTAATTTTGTTGTTGTTGTTGTTGTGGGAAAGGGAGCACCGGTAAAAAAAGAAAAAGAAAAATAAAAATAAAAATAAAAAAATAAAAATAATGTTAGAAAGAAAGAAGGAATATCATCAATTCCGAAGGGCACACCAGGTTAGTTCGAAATTATCCGTCATAAGGGCCCACCCCGCGGAGTCCTTCGAGTAATGCCATTAATTTAGGAATGGCAGCCGATGCAGACCCGCCGCTTTCATTATCATTATCAATACTGCATAGAATCGCGTGACAAGTGCGTACCCGCAAACCGGAACGCCCTACCTAACCCTACGCTTACAAGTTCTGACCAATACTACTACTACTACTATTACTATTACTTATATTGTTACTAATACTCTTTCAGATCCCCGTCAGTTTTTTTTCCCAATTTGTCCTCTAAATTATGCAACGTTCAGGTACAAAAGTATCGAATAAGAGAACAATCCAAAGGTAAAGGAAGAACAAAATTGTAAAACAAAAACGCAAAACAGGTAAGCATAATTTTCTTTATGTTGTTTATTCGTCTATTTGTTTTTTGTTAATAAATTATTGAACGGAAAAATATAGGTATGCAATTTTTTTCTTCTTCTTTTTTTGTAAAATTTCAGGCATGCGTGTTCTTCTTCTTCTTTTTCTTCGTTTTCTTTGACGTGACGGTCGATGAAGAAATTTGGCAAACATAATGAAGGAATAGGAAATGGGGGGAGGTTGGGTTAGACTGTTGAAAGATCTTTAACTAATTAGAAATTTTACCATTAAATAATTGATAAACCCCGCGTAAATATTAATTTAACCTTCGACTCTAAAGCGTAAATATTAATTTAACCTTCGACTCTTTTAAACGTATAATTTACTACGTTTACTCGTCAAAATGAAACATTTGAAAAATAATTGGAAATGGTATGAGGGGAAAAAATAATAAAATAATAGTAATAAGTTAAACTAATTGTATAAAGAAAAAAAGAAAGAATTATTCTCAAAAGTATTATTATTAATTAACGAGATATATATATATATAATTCTCGGGAACAAAAAAATTTCATTTCAACAATTTGAACTTACAATTAAATATTTTTCTTAGCAAATTAGAGGTGTCATTACCAGTGAAAAGAAAATAAGGGTAGAAGGTAAATAAATGAGAAAGAAAAAAAGAAAAAAATATATAAATAAGTAAAGAAAAGAAAAGAAGGAAGAAAGGAAGAAAGTAAGGAAGGAAGTAAGTAAGTAAGGAAGGAAGGAAGGAAGGAAGGAAGAAAAGTCCTGAAGGAGGCTGGAATCGACTAGGACTTGTCCATGAGGCTAAACTAATTTGCAGCGCGAGGGTGGTCTGCGAGGTTGGATTCTGAACTAATGTAAGAGAGAGAGAGAGAGATAGAGGGTGAAATGAAAAAAAGGAAAAAAAAGAAAGAGACAAACACAGATAGAAGAAGAAAGATAGGAAGAAGGGGAGTATATGGGGTTTGATATGGGTGGGAGAAGGGAGTAAAAGAAAAGAAGGGAGAGGGTGTCATTCGATTTTATATGGTGGGGGTACGAAATTCCAAGTGACCAGAGTAAAAGTACCACCCCCCTTGTGTATTCTATCCTTCGACCAATCCCCCTCCCCCCTCTCCCCACTTTCACTACCACCCACTCTTTCCTTCGTTCTTTCGTTCTGTATTTCTTTCTTTATCTCTACGTTAAAACGAGTTTTCTTTCTCTTTCTTTCTTTCTATCACTCTCCCTCTCAATTTCTATATAAACCAACACACTCAAACAGGAACGTGTACGTGTTCGTCCTGTGCTTTTTTTTTTTTTTTCTCTCTTTCTTCCTTCCTTCCTTCCTTTCTCTCTCACTTACTACTATCGGTAAAACTTTCCTTTTCTCTTCGTTTCTCTTTCTAAAAAAATACTTTTTTTTTCCTCTCCCACTACTACTATTCCCCGTTTCTAAAACTCTCCCTCTCGACGACGAGGACGAGGACGAGGACGACGATCACTTTTTCTTTCTTTCTTTTCTATCCTTTTTTTCTTTTTTTTTCTTCTACATTTTCCACTACCTTCACCATTTTTCCTTTTTCTTCTTCTTCCACTTCTTATCTTTTTCTTTCACCATCAGAAAAGCTCAAGATAGAATGGGAAACTGTGAATTGGGGTAAAAAGACTGGCTTGTAAGACTCCTTCTGGTTAAAGAAAGACAACGATAGTAGTTTAGAGAACGCGTGTGTATGCGTGCGTGTATTCTCGTCTGCTCTGTGTGTGTGTTATGTGTTATGTGTATGTGTATACACACTCTGTCTCTCTTTTTAACACACGCGTGCAGGTGCGGTGAGGGTTAAAAAGAGGTGGAGGAAGTACCTCGACCAAGGACGAACTTTTCCTCAGGATTGTATCTAGCCTTTAATAAACCCTACACTTTTCAAACCCTTTCTAATAAAACACGATATCAAATCAAATGTAAATTAATTCGTTCTATTCCAAACGAACAACAATCCACACCAACGATAAAAATATTACCAAAAATTTAGATTGATAAAATACAATAATATAAATGATACAAAACAAAATCGAACGTATCGAAAAGAAAAAGAAAAAGAATAAGAAGTAAAATAAAAAGAATACAATCGTAAAAATAAAAGAGAACCCCGTAGCGAAATGAAAGAAATCCATCCCTGAGTTTGAAAGACTACGTGTGGGGTAGAATGGGGCTGGGGGAGGGTTGGTTGGCACGCCGCAAGGGGTGACTTCGCGGTAGGACGACTGGTGGGAGTTCGAGAAAGAAGAAGAAGAAGAAAAAGAAGAGAAATGGGTGGAGGAGAACAAGAAGGTTTAGATGTAGAAGGAGGAAAAGGAAAGAGGGGCGTTGGGGGAAGGAGGAGGTGGGGTGGAAAGCTAGTGGAGGGGTGCACGGTGGAGTTGAATCAACGCGGGGGTGTATGGGGGAATTAGCGGATGGCCGTGGACAATGTGGGGGATACTTTCTCATATCAAGTATGGCCGCCATCGTGGCACGATGGTCAAAACAATAGTAAGTAAGTCCGAGCTTTAGGCGTCCTGTTTATTCCTCTTCTTCTTCTTCTTCTTCCTCTTCTTCTTCTTCTTCTTCTTCTTCATCCCCTTTTTCTTTTTTTTTTTTCTTATCAACCCCTTCATAGTGGTACCTTAGAGTACCACCATACTTTTATTTATTTTTTGTTTTTATATTCTCAATCCCTTTATCACTGTCTCTCTCTCTGTCTTACTTTCCATTGGTGTTTTTTCACTTCGAAGAATTTCTATCACCCCCACTTGCTGCCCCCTAAAAAAAGAATTCAATTTTGTTCATTGGTCTGTTTTCTACAGTGCGAAATAGTGAAAGTAAAGAAGTGCCGTCGCGTTATCATCGGAGTAGATACTCGCGTCATTATCGTGATAAAGAAAACGAGATCTTGATCTCGTATGATCGACAAATGGATAAGAGAAAAATAACATACAAATTGTCGAGTTTAAACAACGACGATTGCCTTGGGCCGATTCACGTGGAGGACTCGACTAAGCTGATCGTGATCACGGTAAGTCCCATTATCTTTTCTCTTCTTTTATTTTCTCTTTGACTTATATTATCGTAGAACAAACGAAATTTCTTCTTCTATCGAGGAGAAAAAAAAAAATACTTGACTCTTTTTTAAATAATACAAATAATTATCGTAATCAATCGTGTTAATTGTCAACGTTTTAATTAAAATCGTATGAGAATTGAATTGACACAATTAATGAATTAATAATTATAATTACGTTTAGTTTTCCACGTTATTTCTTCTTCTTCATTTTCTTCTTTTTTTAAAATATTCTACGATTATTATATTGTTGCAAATGATGTTTCACGTAATGCCCAATAAACGAATGAACAATTCATTCAAATACTCAAACTTTATGATAAATGTGCTTACGATTGAATTTAACTTATTGTTCTTGCTTTTTATTTTCTTCTTCTTCTTTTTTTTTGAACCGGGTGATCTTGTCTTTTAGGATAAGAACGAAACGATGTAATACCGTACTGTTAGCCATTTGAGGGTCGACTAAAACTCCCTTCTTACACTCACGTTTACTCCTACGTCTTTTGCATGCGAATACTCCACGTGGTTCATCTGACGACACGCATTGCGCAGATCCAACCTTTCGACCAACCTTTTCCTTCCTTTCCTTTCCTTTATTCACTTTCATACACTCTCGTGATCCCCACTTTGTTTCCGATTGTTCAGATCACATGCAGATACTGTTGCAATACATTTAACTCTATACGGGATTCTAACGTTTTATCGTATCATCCTTTTAATGTTGATTATTTTATGCGGATAATAGTGCAGCTAACACGTCAAATCTCTTTCCTTTTTATTATTATTATTATTATTATTATTTTATTATTATTATCTACCACGTGGTATCGAATATTTACTTCCAACGGAATCTTATTTTTGTTCAATGAAAATTAACATTTCCATTCGAATTAAATTGAATATAAAAATGTCTACTCTTTCTCTCAGTTTTATAAATTATAATATAATATATATATAATTCAATTCTTTAAAATATAAAACTTCCAATTACGTATTTGTCGTAATTCCTCTTAAAAATTCCGATCCTATTATCTATTTTTAAATGTTTCATTTGATATCATTTATTTTCATAGAGAAAAAAAATATATTGAGATAACACGTAAAGGAAAAATTTCATAAATGATAAAGATATAAATTGAAAATTTCCACAATAGCGTGGGAGGTGTATTTTTTTTTCTTTCTTTCTTTCCTTTTCGTAATTTTTGTGTGGAGGGCTGGGAAGAAAACAAAACGACTCAGGATAGGTGGATGGATTTTTAGGATTTCTGTTTCTTCTGTTGCTTCTGCTTCTGCTGCTGCTTTTGCTGTTGCTATTGCGATGATATTTGTCTTGTTTACGAGAAGACTTATGCGCGTGTGCGGACCACCGAAGTTCGCTGCTCGATCAATAGGCCTCTACTGAAATCACACATAAACGCACTCACTCCCACGCACCAATACAACCATACTTTTTTCCTTTCTATCCAATAGAAACGCACACCCACATAAACATACACATACACGCATAGGATTTATTTTAACCGGCGCGATCTCTTCTTCTCCTTAATTTTCGACTTTTCCTACGATCCCGAAATTTTGTTTTACACCTTTTTTTTTTTTCTTCCTTTTCATTTTTTGTTTTTTTTTTTTTTTTTTCTTTCTTTTACGTATATTACTTTAGGAATAAAAATTATTTCATTGGCCTAAAGAGTTCGTTCGTCGCGAATTTTTCTTCTTTTTTTTTCTTTTTTCTTTACTATAAAAATGATCCCCTTGAAAAATAAAAAAATGTGTTAGTCGTCGGTATCAAAAAAATAAAGAAATAAATGTAATTATTAACGATGTTATATACAAAACTTACGAACAATTCTCACTTATGTTAAATAATACCTATAAGAATAATATCACAATATAAAGGCACACAACAAAAAATATAACAACCAAAAATTTATATGTAAATCATGATACAGGTATATAATTCATAATCGTGAGAAAAAGAGACAAGGGTCTGTCTAAATCATACTAATACAACGAATAGTTATGATTATTTAGTTTCGATCGTTACATTTAGTTGCACTCGCACACCACACACACACACATGCATGCATGCATGCATGCATTAGAGACAAAGTTAGTGAAGAACAGCTGTGAAAATAATTTCACGTAAAACTTTTTATTCGTGACATTGAACATGATTCATAAATGATATAAAAATCGAAAACGATACGATACTTTATAAATCATTCAAATTATATTCGTAAAATTAAATGAATTAACATTAAATTCGTGTTGATTTGTATTCGTAGGTGTATCCATTATTGACGATTAATTAATTAATTTATAATTGAATGAAGATGAAAATATATAGAATTTTTCAAGAGTTACATTTTTACTATTATTCGGAGGAAGGAAAAGCTTTGTCATAAAACTTCGATCTCATTGTCCATCTCTCTCTCTCTTTCTCTCTCTCTTTATTTTTCTTTTTCTTTCTCTTTCTATCATATAACATGTTTTTCTCGACACCCTTTCGAAAGGACAACGCAGAACCCTTAGTCTCCCCATTTTTCCTATCATTCATCCAATTCCAACTATGTACAACGTTCTACGTTTTCATAATACATGTATATAGATATACGTGTTTGTATATGTGTGTGTGTGTGAGAAGATATATATATATATATATATATATATATATATATATATATGTGGTAAGAAGAGTGAACGCGAACATACGGGCGTATTTATACGTATTTTTGGAAAATCTGTCAAAGGTTACGTTGAAATGCGGGTTTTCCATCGACAAAATTCACCCCCTAGCCCCCTTGCCCCTCCTACTACTACTACTACTACTTTCGTTCTTTCTTTTATTACTTTATTTTTCTCTCAACCACCTATCGCAACCCCTCGCGTAATCCAATTTCCTTTTCTAACGGCACGCGAGTCTACAAAATTTCTAATAATATATATAAATATATTATATTTGTCTAATTCTTTTTTTTCTTTTTTCCATTCGATCACTTTTACTTTTCTTTTTTACCTATAATAAAACGAATTGTGTATATATATATATGTGAGTTATATAAAAGAAATTATTGAACGAATTATCGTTTAATATCAAATTTCAATTACGAATGTTTTCTACAAAAATATATATATATATATTGTTATAAAATTGATAATAATTGAAAATAAAAAATAATCATATATCATCTGACACACAGAATCGAGAATATATTTATAAATATAAAATCAGGAATAATAATAAAAGAAAGTCTATAATTAAAAACAATAATTATATATAATTAAAAATAAAGGAGAAAAAGAAAAAAGTAATAAGAATGAAAAAAATATATTCGGGTTGCATTAATAGATGACTCACAGATGATCAGATGATCGTAGAAATCATCTATCCAGTAAATGCAGAAAAACATGAGGTCTCCCTAAAATTGTTAACGGGGTGGGGGTAAGGGATTCGATATATTTCGAAGGTGGAAGGGAAGAAGAATAGAGAGACGGGGCCCTTCATAGGGCACGCGTTTCTATACCAAACAGTAACCTAGGAGAATTCGAGGGGACTTAAAGCAGCGTGCAAGGAGCCCGCAAAACAGGGCACGCGACTACCTGATTCCTTCTTCCTTATATATTTCCCCTAGAAATATTCCCCAGATAAAAAAAAAAAAAGAAAGAAAAGTAGAAGAAGGAAAACATAAGAAAAGAAAAAAGTAGTAAAAATCCCCATCATTTTCCTTCCTATTCTTCTTCTTTCCCAACGTTTAATATCGTACTAAAGAATTTTACTTTCCTTCCACATTTTTTTTTTCTTCTTCTGATATATATTATCTTCCAAACCAACTCCTAAATTCAAGGACACTCGAGACAATTTTCTTTTTTTTTTGTTTCCTTTTCCTTTCCTATTTCTTATACATTTGTGTGTATATATATATATATATATATGGATGTACGTGTGTTTGTGTGAGTGTGTGTTTCTTATCTTCCCCTTCTTTCCTTTTCGATAAAAAGAAAGAAGTCCGAACGTGCCAATAACGTATTTCCCAATCGTCTTTCAGCAGCCCTTTTAAGGACCCTTCCTCCTCCTCCTCCTACTCCTCCTCCTCCTCCTCCTCCTTTTGGATAGTCTATCCAACTCGATATCTAAACGTTCCTAGAAATTCTTAGCCAAGTGTCACACATGGAACACCTAAAGAAGATACTTAGAGAGTACCTTTCGATTCTCATCATTCGCGTTAACCTAAGTGTCATCGATGTGCTGTGTTCAAGATGATACCAGTGTTTTAAGAAGAATTCGGTTATGAAACGAACGCGTTACAAGTACACGCGTATGTGTAATGATTCCATGTAAATTATTATTATTTTAGGTAAGAAATTTGTTCGATAATAAAATTAGAAAAGTGTCTGGATTTTTCTCTATTTTTTTTTTCTTTTTTTTCTAATTGACGTGTCGAATGAATAAAATTTCAAGAAATTTCGATTGAAAAATCAATGCCAATTTTTTCACGATTTTTTTTTTGGGAGGGGTGGGGTTTTTGTTGTTATACTTTCTTACAAAAATTTTTGTGGCTTCGTTTTTAATAAAAAATTTCATAAGGGGAAAGAGAGGTAAAAATTATAGGAAAGTTCGTTCGAGCACGGATAATTGAAATCAATCAAAGGAATTTTCTGGACGATCAATTCCAATTTTCGTCTCGGTAGTCTTTTTTTTTTTTTTTTTTATCATATTTTCTTATAAAGTTTGTGTCTATATGCATTTAACGGCACAATTTTGTAGGTAGAAACAAAATTACGAGAAGATTTCTTGTTGTCCGGTGATTTTCGTTTCTTTTGCACAAAAGCGTAATCAAAAGTTCATAGGGGCGTGGAGGAATTTAAAGAAAAAAAAACAATAAAAATAGCCACACCAATTTTTCGTCTATCCGTTATAGTAAATTATAGCGTCTGTTTCTCTATCTTTTTTTCTTTATATATAGTTCGCCATAGGTTTACCTGTACATTACGTTTACCTGTGATTGACAATTTCCCATGAAAACAAAAATGATTTACCTTCCTTGTCTCGGTCGTATCTTTTTTTTTTTTTCTTTTCTGTTAACTTTCGAAATGTAAATCACAAAAGAATTTCCGAAAAGAAAAGAAACAAAAAAGAAAAAAGAATAAACCAAATCCCTATAGAATTTTGTCTCTACCAATATAAAGAAAATTATAGCATTGTTTTTTTACTACAATTTAGTTATTGTATGATGACAATTCGATAGAAAAAAAAGAGAAGAAAAGAAAAGAAAGTGTATCGATAAAAAAAAAGGTTACAGCTAGATTCGGTAAAAGTTAGGGAACAATTACAATTATTCGACGAGAACAAAGTGAAAAAAAAAAAGTTCAATCACACATATTCCACAAAACTCTTATTATAATTCGATGATATTCTTTTATTTTTTTTTTTTTTTCTTTATTTCTCAAGAACAAAAGATAGAACATTTATTATACATATATACATATTGGTAGTAGGAGCATGATTTTCTATATAAGAAGAGGTCAATGCACTCGGATCTAACTATAGCAAAAGACACAAAAGAAGCAGTCAGTAATATTGGCTCCTCGTTCTGAATTAGTAATTACCAAGGTTCTGAAATGCATATTCGTACAATCCTCCGAATTCGTCCCTAGAAAATATCTAAGGGGTGGGTGTAGATATATATATATATATATATTATATATACGTATGTGTATATATGAGTCATGTGCTCACCCCCGAAAACGTCTCCCTTTTTCAACCGCATGTCCATCGAACGAAAAGGGCGTACTGTTCGCGCACGTCTCTTTCGCCAAATTTCTTCTTCCTTTCTCACCCTTCATGGAACTACGAAATGCTCGTTAGTTCTATCCTATCTTATAAACCACCCCCTCCCTCCCTCTCTTTCTTTCTTTCTTTCTTTCTTATTAAATACCTTATCCTTTTTCGAATAAAATCGTTTATAATATTGTTTCAAATTAATATCCTTTTTCAATATTTATCATTTAATTATGTTTTATTTTAAATGTTAGATGCATATATTGAAATTGAGATAGAAGGCAATATGTGTTAAGGGTACTTTGCAAAATTTCATATCGGCAGTATTACGATTTGTTTGATTGAGTATATAAATCAATGAATTCATATGATAATGTTAATTGCATATCGTAAAATGTAAAAACCTATGAAGAAATTATGTTTTTAATATTTTTATTTATTTATTTATTTATAAATCATTCCAATGATTTACAATCTATACAAGAGAATATCCTAAGAAACTAACAAAAAAAATAAAAAGGAAAGGTATGATAAAAATATTCCAACGATAAAAAGAAAAAAAACAAACTAACACGAATTTAACCTTGTCTGCAGAGGGAGAAGATCTGACGTGGAAGGAGGGAGGAGGAGAGTTAGTGGAGGGGTGGAGGAGAGGAAGACTCTTTGAAAAAAGAGAAGAAAAGTCAAACATGATGTCGTCTAGCATGGCACAGGAGACGACAACGACGACGACTACGACGACTACGACGACGATATCGGATCTCACTGAGGTAGACAGCGACGGCGGAGGTTCCAGTTCGAATGAACGAGATTTGAGGAAGAAGGGTCTTCGTCTTCACGGAGACGCTGATTTAGCTGGACCGAAGAAGAGACGAAAGCAAACGACACCGGTAAGATTTTCCTCGTCCTTGATGAGCGGTCTCCAAGACGAATCTAACGAGGATGATGACGAGGAGGAGGTGGAGGAGGAGGGAGAACTCGTGGGGGAAGTAGAAAGAAGGGGGGAGGTAGAGGAGGATGACGATGATGATGATGATGATGATAGGGAGGGGGGCATCGAAGAGGGGGAGCTTAACGTTGACGCCGAAAATAAATTGTCGGTTAGATCGTTGAACAATCATCATCACCACCTTCTTCATCATCATCATCATCATCACCATCATCATCATCATTCCTCGATGGAAGATGATAATCTTCAGAGTGATATTCGTTGTCAATATTGCGGTATGTTTCTCGAGAACAGAGAAATGTTGAACGTACATTTGGAGAACGAACACGGTTCTGGGAGCAATCAAACGAGTGTTATGTTACAACATAACTCGCCTGTTATTAAATTAGAACCACCTTCCAATCTATCGGACAGTCCCGTCAATCTTTTGACCGTTAAAACTTTCCCATCTTCTTGGATAAACCAACAACAGCAACAACAACAGCAACAGCAGCAACAACAACATAGCGTGCAATCGCAAACGCAAATGCAATCGCAAAGCGAGGAACCTTGGCCAGGACCGTCGAATCAATTGGCAATGAGTAATCATCATTTGCAAGCATTATCGGGATTTCCAGGTGCCCTGGCATCGTACCTTCCACTGTCAACGTTTCCATTGACCGATCCGACGCATATTCCAAGAACGTCGATAGCTCCTGTTGCCCCGGTTAGGATATTCAATCCCGAGGCTTATTGCGATCTGTGTAACAAAGAATTTTGTAATAAGTATTTCTTAAAAACGCACAAGGCTAACAAGCACGGTATTTACGTGGATTCACCTGGACCGAATCCGAATGAAAGTGCCAACAATGTTCCTACACAATTATTTCCAACCGGTGGTGGTGGTGGTGCTGTTGGTGGTGGTGTTGTTGGTGGTAGTGGTGTTGTTGGTGGATATTCAAGCAACACAATTAAATTGGAACCMCCTGCCACTCCGCCGATGCCAAGCGTACCATGCGAAATTTGTCAAAAACGTTTTAAAAACGAGGAATCCGTTAGGAAGCACAAGCAAAAGATGCACAACAACGAGTCGATCGAACATACCGATCAATCATTACCTGCTTCTCAAAGCGAAGACGACAGGGAGACACCGCGTAGCAGTCCTGGTGGTATCGAGTCGCTTTTCAAACAAGACTTCGGCATGGAACAAGAAGAGACGACGTTTATGCCAGCACCGAGACACCTGTCTCCCCAATCGATCCAACAGGCACGCGATTCTGGATTCAACGCCGATCGTCTTCGTCGTCTTGGTGTCATCAATCCCGACGCGTTCTGCGAAATATGTTGCAAGGAATATTGCAACAAGTATTTCTTGCGTACCCACAAAATGAAACGACACGGTATCGTTATACAAGACAACGAAAAGTCACCCAGCAATCCGGCGGCAGCATTGACCTGGCACCAGGTACAAACTAGCCCATTGAATTTAATCGTAACCGAATCCGGAAACGGATCCGAATCGAACGATCGTACCAACGACGATTACGAGTGTAAACCTTGCGGAATAAGATTCCAAACTATCGGACTTTATCAAGCACATTGCAGGAAAATGCACGAGAATAACGGTGAAGAACACTCGCCCAGGCAAGAATTCGATCAGGACACGTCGCAGGATCAACGCACGGATTCCATTTCCGAAGATCTTCAAAAACTTCAAACGATGATCTTACAATTGAATGGCTTGGATCAATCGGTTATCGGTAAGGTGTTACAATCCTGTAACATTTGTGGAAAAGAATGCGAATCGAGATCCGCATTAAGAATTCACATGGCTACCGAACACGGTAACGTCTCGGATAATCCCCTTTCACCTGGTCAAGAAAAATCACCGAGTAATACCAACGTAACGGCATTTTGTACGTTGTGCGAGAAGGATTATGTTAATCAGGAAGCTTTGAAAAAGCATATCGTCGAGGAACATCAAGCTACTCTGCCAAATCCTTTGTTACAAGTACCTACGACTACGAGTTCTAGTTCGATAATTAATTCGACGACCAATCCGACTACACCCAACAGTAACAATCAAACGCAATCGGATAAAAAGATTGCGTCTATGACACCTACTTCGAGTTACTGCGTTATTTGCAATAAAGAATTGTGTAACAAGTATTTTATGAAAACGCATATGCAAAAGATGCACGGAATTCAGATAGAAAACGGCGCGCAAATAGGTGGCGTAATATGTAACATTTGTAACAAGGAATTGTGCAGTAAATATTTCTTAAGAGTACATAAACACAACAGTCATGGAATAGTCAACGAAAATACTTCATCTTCCTCCTCGGCTAAACAGGAATCGTTCGATGCATCCAGTTCCGAGGATGCTGCATTGAAACCGGAACAATTGGGTGATCTTAGTCATCGTTATTTTACATATTTTACCGAAGTTTGTCCGTTTTGCAGTAGAAGGTTTCGCAGTATAAAATGGCTTAAAGCACATCTTTTAAACGATCATGGAAAAAATGGTATTGACAAGTGGCGCGAGATGGAACAACAAAATCAAACGTCAACGTCGAAAAGCAACAATCGGTCGGCTACTGCTGCTGCTGCTGCTGCTGCTGCTGCTGGTAATTCGTCGAAATCAAGCGCACAATTATCCAATTTGAAAATACCAAATGGTTTTGAATTGAGTCAACAAAACAAACCGACCGATTTAACGGGCTTGGGAAATCAAGTGTTGTCGAATTTATTGGGTTCTTCTTCGGACGATCAACAATTGAAAAGTTATCGTTGTTCCTATTGCAATTTTTCCACAACCGTATTACCATTTTTATTTCTACACGAAAGATCTCACGTTAATACGCAGGAAAATATCGAGACCGAGAGTAATACACTTCAATGTCCGATATGTTCGCAAAGATTTCATCAGCCCGAACAATTGCATCAACATTTGTTAACGAGACATCAATTTTCAGCATTGCTGACGCAATTTCAAACACCACCGATACTTCAAACACCGAATGTTGATCAAGAAAAGCTTGGTATACATTTAGATTCGAAAGATACCAAATTGGAAATAGAAACTAAAGAGGACAATAGTGTAATCAATCAAACGCAAATCAATCAACCAACGCAAATCCAATCGGAACAACAACAAATGATAAATCCGAAAGTTCAAGAGGACAACAACCCAGTCCAAGTAACCCCGCACGGAACTTTCAAATGCGCTCAGTGCGGTTATGCAACGACCAATGTAAACAGGATTAGAAGGCACGTTAAAAAGGATCACACGGCTATCGGTGATCCAACTGACAGCGTAATAGCTGAACTTAGTAAAACCTTAAAGGATATTGCCAACAGACACAAAGTACCAGCTTGTTATGCCATGCCTCAAGATGCTAATGTAAATATTGAGAAAACGATAATGCAACCATTCCTGATCGATGAACAACAGGATCCCTCATCGGTTAACAGTGACGATTCCAATTCGGAAAAACGATTTACACCGGCTCTCGTTTATTTACCTGTTAAATCACGAATTAGCAGTGCGCTTACCGCATCCTTCACTCTGACGCCTGCTTAAAAAACATAAAAGAAAGAAAGAAAGAAAGAAAAAAGAAAAATTAAGATATTTTAAGGACAACAAATTGACAAGAAAATTTACAAAAAGACAAATTTTTTACTTCCTATTTATAACGCGACATTTTTTTCTTTCCTCGATCTATAACGTGAAATAGGAAGAAAAATATGATGCAAATATTTGAAATATCTGCGTCTATGCGATCTGAAAGCACGTGGTATCGGTTCCTATTTATTACAACTACTATTTGCTACTACTACTACTACTACTACTACTACTTCTACTTCTACTACTACTACTAATAATAATAATAACAAGTAAGACAGACATTTAATATGTCAAAAATTTTTTATATTGCAATACTTTATAATAATAGCTCTGATCTGCCTTTTATGACATTATTATTATTATTATTCATGTATTACGTCATCTACGTTTTATTAGTTTATTTTTTTTTTTTATATTTTTCTTCTATTCGTTTTAAATACACACGACTCATAATCTTCTTTTGTTTTTTTTTTCTTTTTCTTCTGTTTTATTTATAATTCGATTTCTCGTGGGATAATCTGCGATGATTCGATAGAAGGAGGGGGAGTGGGTGAAAAAAATTAATGAAGACGTGTCTAACGAATCAAACAACAATGATCTCGCTAAATTCTTATTATCATCGTTCATTATATACATAAAAATGTCTCTGAGGTTTTTATAACAATCCGGCGTATTTTATTCTATGAAAATGGAAATGAAAGAAAAGAAAATATTAACAAAAAACAAGAAAAGTAAAAAAAGTAAAATCGAGAAAAAAAACCATTTGTTCAGACACTTTGTATACTCATTTAAGTCATTTAAAAAATAATTTCTTGTTTATTAACCACACGACACACACGCGAGAGTTCATTTTATTATTATTATCATGATCATCATCATCATCATTATTATTATTATTATTATTATTATTATTATTATTATTATTATTAATCCTTGACCGCAAATTTTTTTATCGCGAAAATAAATACGAATGAATAAATTTGAAAGAGAGACACAAAATAAAAAAGCAAAAGAAAAAGAAAAAAAGACAGAAACAAAAGAAGAATTATCTTTCGCGTTTAAAAGCCACGTTGTTATATTGTAAATAATACTTATTACGATTATTATAAACGAAAAAAAAAATCAACGGGTGATCGACAAAGTTCCTATTTTCAATGCGACGGGCCTCCAAAGAAACAAAAAATAATGATTAATAACTATTTAAAAAAGAAATAAGTGAGAAAAAAGAAGAAAAAAAAAGAGACTATTGAAAATAATAAAAAATAATAAGAAACGTGAAATAAAATGAAAAGAAAGCGTTAAGTAACACGCGAATTATTATTCAAAAATATTTCTTTTTACATAAATTATTTATCGTATAATATATACATATGTATATACATGTACACTTACTTACGCTTTTATTTTTCATTTTTTATTTTACATACTGTCGAATAAAAATACGAGATATGTTTCTTTTTTCTTCTATTTTAATTAATTTAATTAATTGACAAGTTGACCGCCATGTGCACGATGCACATGTTTTGTTCAAGGCGCCACATTAATTATTATTCTCTTACGAATAATTAAATAATAAAAAAAAACAATTAAAAAAAAGAAACGATACGTTGTGGGATAAACAATGGTAAAGATAAATAATAAATTCGATTGAGAACGATCGAATTTTGGTATTTGAAATATTGTCTCGACGTTTATCGTCATTTACTTTAGCGATTTTTCCTAGTCAATATTTTATATATTATAAATAATCAATTAATATATCTGCAAGAGCAAAGAGAGATTGTTTAACGATAAGAAATAAAATTGAGATTGGGGTGGTAGGGAAATAGGGGAGGTACGGGGTGGAATGATTAGGGAAGTTGGGGAAAGAGAAAGAAAGAAAGTATGAAATAATTAAATGAAGTATTTATATTATACTATACACGTAGATTTTTCGTAAAAAAACGAAGAAAAAAACAAACTAAACTAAGAACGAAAGATAATGAAAGACAATTTTTATAATACAACCAAACGTAAAATAAAAATGGGACTACAATATTCAATAACAACAATAACTATAATTAAAACACGACAAAAAAGATAAGATATAACAAAATGTACGAGAATTTTGTTGATTTATAAAAGAAAAGAATAATTGTACGAGCACGATTAACGAATAATTAAATATCGATGATTAGAAAGAAAGGATATGTAGAAAAGTATAAAAAGAAAAAAAAAATATATAAGAAGAAGAAGAAGAAAAAATGACGGCCAAGAAAAAAAACTCAGGGCGGACGCAGTATAACCCGAAACAAAAAGTACAATCGTATACACAGCCAATCGCATCTCGCATTATAGAATTAAATAAATAAATAAATAAATAAATAAAGTAATTTTGAGAAAGATTAAAAGAATGATAATACTTTTAAATAAATATTATAGCGCGATATTATAAGAATTTTCTTACACTGCACGCGTAATCATCATGTTCAAATCTTTTTGGCATAATCTCTCATGACGTCACGCGTATATGTAAAATAAAACAAAAAATAAAAGAGAGAGAGAGAGAAAGGGAAGATAGTTAAAAAAAAAAAAAGGAAAGTCAAGCCAATTTGATGAATCCCATAAAAGTTTACCGAAAAAAAACTCTCTGCATGGGGTAAAATAGAGAAATTTTGTAAATCCCATGGCCCTTTACCATAGTCTTCTTCTAGTCTTTTAAATACCAAAGAAATTTCTCTAAACCATTCTTTAAATGATTATAATAATATACGATATTTAAAAAGAGGAAAAAAAAAAAGAAAATAAATTATAAAATGAAAGAATGAAAAGGAAACTTTTGATTCGATTTATAAGAAATAAATTTTTTCTTTTTACAAACTGGTGCCTTGTTGCGCTTGAGAAAATAAATTGAAAAACGAAGAAAGAAAGAAAAACAAGAAAAAAAAAAAAGAAAAAAAGAAATTGATGGAAAGAAAAATTTGGAGGAAAAAATTCTTTATCATTTATGCACCGTGATACAATAATTCTTATGTATTATTATAACATTGTGACGATGCTAAAAAAAAACGGAAAAGAAAAATAATATAATAAAATGTCTAAATTTCTAAATCTTCAAACAAACGATAGAAAACTTTATTCTCCTATTGGCCGATTTTTCTTCATTCTTCGAAACGCATTAACACTTTAAAATAACATTTTTCCGAATAAAAGGAATATATGATATACGAGAGAAAGAAAATTATGGAAATATTCATCACGTTAACAATTGAGAATAGAACATTTTGTCTGATAAAAAGAAATAGTAAAAAATAAACAACAAGAAGAAAAAAAATACACGCAACAGGAACAAAGTAACGTAAAACAATACGTTAAACCTATTGATCAAAAATAATTAAAATAAAATATAATTCGATGAGAAATAATTCGTTTAATTTTGTACAATCAGATATTACGAGGTAAAGTTTTTCGAATTTTTGTTTTTTCCTGTTAGTATTATAACGAGGACGAGAGCAACGAGGTTTTATACTGTTCGATCGAAAGGTTCTAAGGGACAGCTGTTCTCTTTCGAAGTGACCACACGATAATCGGCCACAGCACAGGAAAGTAGAGAAACAGCCTAGCTAACACACACACACACACAAACAATCGTGTTGTTCTGTCTAACCTTACCTTAGGTTTACGTTTCGAAATACGTTTCTTGCACCGGTCTTTATACGTTTTACCTTCCCTGTCCCTTCGATGAACAAACATGCATCATGCATTTCCGCTTTTCGATCCTACGCCTACATAAAACTTTCAAAACTCTAACATTTATCCCATGCTTGTCATATTTATTTTTATTCTATCATCTCTCTTTACTAATAATTTTTAATTATATTCATATATTAAAATATACAAATATATCTAATGACAATTTGATTTCTTTCTAAATTATTCACGATGAAAATTTAATTTATTTAAAATTCTATATTATTTGTTTCTATACGCGAATTAATCAGACATTTTGTACACATACACACATACTAGTGAACACGAGTGTTTATTAAAATGATATATCTGGTATATAAATGAGATCATTGATATTCCTATTGAACTGCAACCGAGAAAAGTCATAAAGATATAGAGAACAGCTGGAGATTTGAATGCCTGGGTCATTAAACAGAATATTCCCAATGCTTTCAATATTCACTAAATTTACCATGTGAATTAGTATGCGTGCGTGCACGCGTACATTAACATATTATATTTTCGGGGATTGGAGGAAAAACCATCGGCCAATACGAAAACCCATTGAAATAGAGAAAAAGAAATCAAGAGAAAGAGAAAGAGAGAGAAAGAAAATATGAAAAGGGAACGGAAAAAAGAAAAGGGAAAGAAATACAGGAAGCGTGTTGAGAAAAATGGAATTTTTGAGGTGCATTAAACGACAGAGTGAAAGAGAGAGAGAAAAAAAAGAAAGAAAATTTACAAAGTCCCATATTTTGGGTCGTAGATTCATACGAATTCGCATCTGGTAGAAGACCCTTTTGTGGGAAGGTCGGTCCGGTGTGTAAAAGGTCGCGACCTTGACGAGGGATTTTTCTGGAAAAAGTCCAAGAGAAATGATCTAAACGAGGGTGAAGAGAAGAAGGAAGAGGTGGAGGAGAATGAGAGGAGAGGAGAGGAGAGGAGAGGAATCCCTAGTACTCTTTTTGTCCATTTTTCTCGCCCCAACCTTCTATTTCTATTTCCTATCCTCTTCTATCTCTCTCTCTCTCTCTCTCTCTCTCTCTCTCTCTGTTCCCCTATTTTTTTTTCCCTTTTCTTTTTTTCTATAGGATAAAATGCAAAATGCACGCGTCCATGTAAATGGGCACCCTCTTAATTGCATCCCATGGAAATATGCGTATTGTGCATTTAATGGGCCGTGCATCAAAGAGAGAATAAGAAAAAGAAAGAGAAAGAGAGAGAGAGAGAAGGAGAGGAGGGTGTCGAGAAGGGTCGGCATCGTTTAATTGCAACTACGACTC